CAGTTTGGCGGTAGAACATTGCTGCTATGAGCTGGCGATGTTTGGTGCATACGCATATGTCTATTAAGGGACACTTTCTTGTCGGCACTGTATGAGCATTGTGTGCACGCATATTGTTTTCCAGTCTTTATGGCCTTAGTTGTTGGTTCATCGTTAGAATTGTTTATACTAGCACTGCTGGTGCCACTCGACGTGTTGGCGGTGGTTTTCTCAGCTACTACCGTAGAGATCGAAGCACCCTTTGCTTCCATGTCTTTATTGCTACAACAAAGATATAGATCGCCTATTGTGAATCGATATTGTCTTAAGATGCGAAGCATCCCACCCCTGCGATCGATTTATGTACTTACCGATGTGAGCAATAGTATGCCTGATGCGCTTCTAACGTTGATGGTGAACTGAAGTGAATGCCACATGGCAGACACATGAACAACTTCAAGCGTGGTGCGATTTCAGCGGAAGCAGTGAGACCAGTCACTGTGTCAACCGTCGCCGCTTTAAGCACCGGTTCCGCCAAACTAACCACAGGAGCATTTATCGAGGCTTCTATGTCTTCCTGTTCGGACAGTGCTGGTGGTGGTGGAAATTGCGCAAGCATGTTTTTCGTTTGCGTCTCTGCATGTAAAGCTTTAAGGTCTTGCGCATCCGGTTTCAAGGCCGGGTCTGATGCCAGAAACGAATTTAGCCGCAATTTCGGCATTGTGGGTGAGGGTGCGGGTTCTATTTCATTATCTGTTAGTTCGTCCTTATGTGGGCTGTTGCTAACAGGGCGTTCGTCGTTTGAGTCTAGAGAAGTTGCCTCGACATTCATTTCGCTTTGTTCTTCAATCATCTCATGATCTACGTTTACTTTGATTTTACGTTCTGCGGATTCTTTATAAATCTGAAATGACTCGGTAGAGTTCGACTCATTCGAAGTTTTGACAGTTGTTTCATTTCCTGCCCTCATAAGCGGTGATATTCGACTTGTTCGATCGCCGTCTTCCCTTGTGATCGTGTCATCTGCCATTTCGATGCTAGTCTCTTCATTTTGACGATCATGAGCATCTAAAAGCTCTTTGGAATCTGCAACAACATAAGAAGTTAGGCACAAAAATTTATATTAGTCCGCAATTTATAAGCTAATGGCCATATTTATAATAAACAAAATGGATGTAAAGAGCTCTATAAAGTGACATTTTCATAAAAATTTTCAACTTCTAAAGCAGCTAAAGTCTTCTTTATTTTTTATGAATTTGGGTGTAATTTTATATAACAAGTTTATAAGTACATTCATGCATAATATCGCACACGTTCTGCAATAGTGTGTTAATTGACACAGTACGTTTACCCTCCAGCAAGAAAGAAACAAAAAACTTTGTTGTAATTTTTTGAAAAAAAATATCTAAAATAAGGTATTGCTTGCCCATATTATCCATGGATTATTATATTCAATAATAAAAGGTTTGCCCAGAAAATAGTTTTCTCGCTCCCTCTTGACAAAATCGGCTCCCTTAGCAAGACACTGTGTGTGGGTTCGTGTGTGTGTGCAAAGCTTTTGTAAGGGATTTAAGGGAGTGTCAAAACTCTAATGTCAATAATGAGCAAACGTTTAATTATTGAATCCAGTGTTGCCAGTAACTGTGTTAATGAAATCCCGTCTAAATACAACGTAAATCCCGTTTTATACTAAAGATATAACAGAAATCTCGCGCTGTATGTATAATAGACATAAAATGCTTTCGTATGTATGTATGTAAATTAGGGTGCTTGTTTTTGCGACTATTGTTTTTTTTCACTCCTACCTCGAAATTTTGTGGAAAACACCTAAAAAAAATCTCCCTGAAAATTTTAAACCTTAATATTAACATTAAGTACTCGCACAAGGCGTGCAAAGATTTCTCATATTAAATACACGTAAACTTTGATTTTTTTTTCAAAACTCTACGGCTCTGAGGTATTTTATAGTATAATCTTGGTCAATGATGGGTTTACTTCAGAATTGAATGCTCTACAAAAGTGTCCATTGCAGCGTAGTCGTTACTCCCACCAGCGAATTAGTACGGGTCACTAACCCCAATTTTTCATGAAATTCTCGTTCATTCAATTTCCTGCAAAAAAAAATCTATGAAACCAAATCGCTAACATCGATATTTCTTGAGATATTGGACTTTGAAGTTGATCAACAAATTCTACAATTCAGCTCAATAGTTACTCCGTGAAAATTCCACACTACCTCAATTTCAAAGTCCAATATCTCAAGAAACATCGATGTTGGCGATTTAGTGTTCTGAAATTTTTTTGTAAGAAATTGAAAGTCCTACAAGTTTTCGTTTACATTTTTTCTGCAGCTCTTGTTATTTACGAAATAGGGTAAAAAAACGAGAATTTCATAAAAAAAATGGGTTTAGTGACCCGTGTAGTACGCTGGTGGAAGTAAGAATTACGCCGCAATGGAAAACCTATCATTGACCAAGATTATACCATAAAATGCTTCTGAGCTGTAGAGTTTAAAAAAAAAAAATCAAAGTTTACGTGTATTTTATATAAGAAATCGTTGCACGCCTTGGGCGAGTACTTAACGTTAATATTAAAGGTTAAAAATTTCAGGGAGTTTTTTTTTTAATGTGTTTTACACAAAATTTCGAGATAGGAGTGAGAAAAACAATAGTCGCCAAAAAAGCACCCTAATGTACATAGATATGCAATACACATAGGATTTATATACATTAGGG